CTGTAAAAACTGAAGAAATCTGGTAATGTCACCAACATCAGTATAAGCCACTGTGGTATAAGCATATATTTTGCTTTCTGACTAATGTAATAATACTGTAGTATATCCAGTGTGCCCCTTGCTAAAAACATTGCCTTGTTTTATTGATGAGTTTGTGCAATATATTTTAATGTCTTTGCAGGAACAAGGGGTGATTTAAAAAGGACAATGTCCCCCTTAGTGGTTCTATTGATCATTATAGGTAAATATCTACTCAAGCACTCAAGTCAAGTTTTTAATGTTTGTGCAACATATAGCACTTTCGAACATTGTGTTTACATTCATAAACACAGCAAAAAGGGTCAAAATGATGCTAAATATATCTCTTCCATCAGGATTGTTGGGACCAACATGTGAAAATCAAAGAAATGTGTCTGATTCAGGTAAAAACAAATGATTGAGGAAATAACGCCTGTAAAATAAACTTTTTGAATTTGAAAAGAAAAAAGTTTGGCATGATGCATACAAAGTAATTTTTTTTTCTTTTTCTCTCACATCATCAGCAGTTTCACATCATAAGGCCTCATCAGACCAAATAGTTATTAACAGGAACCAGTTGAATGTAAGGTCATGTCACTGCAGTTTTTCAATATTCATTTAACACATTTTAAATTGCACTACATTTCTTTATTTCTATAGAACAGAGCACTGGAAAATTGGCCTGTGGCTAATCGTACAGATATTAAAATTTTTAGGTAAGTGGGAAAATACCTAATCTAACATATAACATCTTGAATCACCTTGAGAAGCTCGGTGGTCTTGATCATAGCAAATCAGCTTATCTACTGTTTTAGCCCTGAGATCTCTCAAAGTCAGGATACATGAGTAGGAATAAGTATCTGGTTAAGTCTTAAATGGTAATACAGAACAACTGATAATCAGGGGTGGATATAGATAGAGAGTCATTTGAATTTTAAGTTAACATTGTTTGCCTAGACTCGAGACTTTTGTCATGCTCAATACTATATGCTAATAATTTAATCTTTCAGGAAAGGATCACTTGTTATTTCCAGACAATACTGGTACCCTGTTTTAGAAATAGGTAAGGAATCAATATCAGTAATTCCAAAATGTTGTAATTGAATTAATTAAATAAAAATTAAATGAATGTTGTAATTAAAACCTGAGTAAACCAAGATGACAGATAGTCTCTATAGTTTGTAAATAATTCAAACAAAGAAAGTTCTCTGTACTTCAATGTGTTCTTTTCATCTGCATCTTTATGTAATACATTTCATTTTTTGCAGCCGTTAAAAAACCAAACCCCACATCCCCTGCATTCACCTTGGCCACAACACCAATAATCTCAAATACAGCACAGTCATTGAACACAGAGTCATTACCAGCTACAACAAGTATGCTGCCCACGTCATCTTTCCCAACAACTGCAGAAACATCCTCTTTAGGGCAACCATCAACAACCAAAACAACAATATCTACAATTTCAACAGAGCCCCAAACAACTAGCATTCAAGTACATACAAGCAAACAGATGACCTCAAGACAAATATCAGAAACAACAGAGTCACAGATTTCAACACTACCAAAAGAAACCAATCCAACAACAACAATCGTACCAACTGCCAACTCAAGACAGCCAACAACCATGACATATTCTGCAACATCAGTGCAACAAAAAACTGCCACTGCAAACAATGTACCATCAGACACCTCAAAGGAAATAACAGCCACCACATCAACAGTGTCTCTGTTTCCAGAAACAATCACTCCATCCGCGACACCAGAAACTACCTCAATACAGCTAACAAACAACATAAACACAAGAAATATGGTAGGGACATCAGAGGAAACTTCAAAATCAGTGGGTACTACAACCAGTATCCACACAACAACTGTAATGGATGCCTCAAATGCTCCAGAAGTAACAGGAACTACCATTTCATCTGCAAATCTGCCAGCTACATCAGGATCAGGAGTTAGTTTTGAAAGCTTAAAAACTACAAGTGAAAGAACATTGGGAACTGCAGAACTGGATTCCACCTCAGTGGCACCTGGAACAACAAGGGCAGCAACAACAATTATACCTAAAACAGGTTTGACTAAATGTGTTATGACTATGCAATTCTGTGCAAAGGTTATGAAGTCTCTAGGAAGGGTTTGTCTCTATTCTCTTAATGAGTAATGGATGTGATTTGGCCTTTACGTGCAATAAACCAATCAGAGTCTTCTCCCATTCCCTTTAAATGCCAGTTGCACTCGCGCCATGCCGTATTCGCTATTTACATGAAGGGATTTCATAGTGGAAAGACAAACTGATCTGAACTGAGCAGACCATCTACGGGACAAGCCGGATTCCACTATATCTTTAGGTGCACAATATTAATCTTTTACATTAAAATCATTTTATGTTAAATATTTGGCATGTTTCTGTCCTGCTGCATGTCCCTTTCCATGCGTTTAATAAGCAGAGTGTGATCTTTAAAAAAATGTATATATATATATATATATATATATATATATATACATATTGCTATTGATAGTGGTCAGTGGCGCAGTCTATTTCAGTTGCCTCAAAATAACAACGCACCTTCGATGCGCCTGAACACACCTTGTTTTCAGACCAGTATGCCCATGGGTACACAGATGGACAAATGCATTTGCTATTTAAAAGGGCACTTGGCAACTCTAGTTATTTCTTTGCTGATTTCCACTTTTGTTGTGGAATGTGTTCTCATCAGCGCCCCCTACAGCTGTGCAGCGTATTTCACAACAACGTCATAAAGAAACTCACTTGCGGCGCCTTCCTCCCGCTTTCTACAGCTGCTCATATGCTTCTGTTATTATCGGAGCCGGCCAACACTATCGTGTGGAGCTGTGTCTACCGAGTGGGTTATACATCAAACACAGTATCATAGAATTATGTCGAATTGCCATAAAGCAGTTTGTGTTTCTCGCTCGTTATCACTTCTCACAAGACTTCTATTTCCAACTTACTGGGACTATGTTGCAAGTTTGGTTTTCCGCCTGGGAATGCTGGGAGCGGGGAAAGCCCCCAACCTCTCCAGAACAGGTTATTGACAAATGATTTCTAAATGGTTTTATTAAGTTGAAATAGTTGCCAAGTGCCCCTTTAAACAACGTGGTGCAGGATGTGAAACACTACCTGCACTAGCAGATAGGCTGAAATGGGAAAAAAAAAAACACTTGAGTCGCGCCTTGTGTTGCGTTGCTTTGCAGCCCATTCTCACTCCCAAGGCGTCATAACTGACGCCTTGGGAAGCATTTGACCATGCTTCAATATCTGACGCTTTAGGCGCCCTTCAGTTAGATGACGCCCTAGGATCGCGTGTACCCTACCCCCACCCCAGACCTAAACCTAACCGCGTCCTCTAACTGACGCTTTCCTTTAGCGTCAGTTAGATGACGCCGTAGGATCGCGTCATGTAAGTGACGCTAAAGGGCGCCTAAAACGTCAAATATTGAAGCATGGTCAAAGGTGACGCCTTGGGGTGAGAATGCACGCCGGGTGTATGATAGGGTCCCTGGTCTTTTTGTTATTTAAATAGTATGTTAGTAATGTGCGCCTATAGACCATTTCACAAGATGTAAACAACACTGGTCCAGAAGCACTTCCTGTTTCAGTTTGTAACTGTTTTCTTTATTTCACATGTAAAGAAAACATCTTAAAGATGTTTGTTTAACTTTTTGATTCAGTTTTAAATGTTCTGTTGGTTGTATTTTATCCCAGCTTTTATGTAGTGTTAAAAAACTGAAACAGGAAGTGCTTCTGGACCAGTGTTGTTTACATCTTGTGAAATGGTCTATAGGCGGGTGCACAACATGCATAAACTCTGCTTATTACACACACAGGGACATGCAGCAGCACACAAACTAGCCAAATATTAAAAATAAAAGGATTTCAATGTAAAAGATTAATATTGTACACATAAAGATATGGTGGAATCCAGTTTGTCCCGTAGATGATCTGCTTGCACTACTAAACCTTGTGCATGAGCAGATCCGTTTGCTCGCTGCCGAAGAATTTAGTCTTTCCACTTGCAATTTCCGCCATGTAAATAGCAAACCGTCATGGCGTGAGCACAACTGGATTTTAAAGGGAATGGGAGATGAAACTCTGATTGGTTTATTGCACGTTGTGCCAAAACACACTCATTGCTAGTTTCCCCATTGTTAAACTAGCAAAAGTGAATTCGGACATGCCTTAAGTGCACTTTAGACTATGCGCTTAGATCGGTAAAATAGGGCCATAAGTATGTTATTCCTTCACTCCGAGCGGCAGAAACTACCCTTAAGACAAAGTCATTAAAATAACTTTTTTTTTTTCAACCATATTAAAGGTTGTATCACAGATTTCAGGCCCAAAAAAAGGCCCAAACACAAAATAAATAGTGTTCCAACCAATCACCGATATGGGTTCGTTGATAGATGCTGGCTTCTTCTTCAGGTCCAAATTCGCGTACAGCCGTGCACAAGTGCAAAACCTCACAACACCCACCCCCTGTCGATAATTGGTTGGACCACTATTTATTTTGGTTTCGAGTGGTTGGTTAAACCATTTGTTTTTGTGTGCAGGTCGCAGAGCCTAGGCTGCATTATGGGGCAGGCAGCTAGCGGATCTTTATGAAAGATTAGATGAATGTGATCATTTATGTTTGGGTCTTTTTTTTTGGCCTGAAATCGCTGATACAACCTTTATTGTAACCTTTTTGGCTACAGGAAGAGCAGATAGACATTTTTTAGGTTTGTCATTTTGGCATTCTTTTTATGACAAGGCAGTTAATAATGAATATGGTGCTGGACAAAAAAGCTGGCAAAAGTAACATCAAGCAAAGTAATGTTTAAAAGAACATTTTACAACATCATAAAAAGAGTTTATTACTGATTACTACCAAAATTGTTTCACTAAATGATTTGAATGTTATTATTGTACACTAATGTGTTGCTCATTTGCGTTACCTACACAGTAGCTACAACAGAGGCAGTGACAATCTTCCCAGTACAATCTGCAATTAAATCAACAGACACAGTCAGCTATAACAGAGGCATCATTACCTCAAGTCACAATGGGACCATTATCATCGAAAACAGATTCAGTAACACCAAGTGAAACAACAGTGTCTGCATCAGAATCGGTACCGACAACAACACAAATACCAGCATCTAGTGCTCGTTTTACAGCTGCAGAGGCAACAAGTACAACTACTTCATCAACAGGAGCAACATTAACAACTGCACTGGACACAACCACAGCATCAACCATCAGATATGAATCAGAAGCAACCAAGACTACACTAGCTGAGGGTTCATCTACTGGATTACATTCTATGGCAGTAGATACAGTGACAACAACAATAGCCCTGGCAGAGTCTGTTACTGCAACCAAAGCTTCAACATTGGCACCAGAAACATCTCAAGTCACAACAGAACCTTTACCATCCCAAACAGAAACTACAACATTAATGTTGATGACGCCAGTAACCGTGACTCATAACTCAGAGGTCTCCACCACTGTCAAAAGAATGACAGAAAAACCTACAACACAAACTGAAATGGATTCTTCATCAGCAGGACAAACTACATTGAGAGCATCTGGTACAACAGAATCAACACTTACTCCGACTACAGCAGCACCAAAAACAGAGAAATCATCACCTATAACTGAAGCAGGTGAAGTAAAGACAACAGCAGCAGGAACATCCAGAACTACAAAATCACCTGCAGAAACTCCAACATTTTTAGTCCCAACAAGTGCAACTACTGCAGCATCAGCAGGAGTGACATCAGTATTGCCAGCAACTGTATCAGGGACAACCACAGCATCAACCATCAGATATGAATCAGAAATAACCAAGACTACACTAGCTGAAGGTTCATCTACTGGATTACATTCTATATCAGTAGAAACAGTGACGACAACAACAGCCCAGGCAGAGTCTGTTACTGCAACCAAAGCTTCAACATTGGCACCAGAAACATCTCAAGTCACAACAGAACCTTTACCATCCCAAACAAAAACAACAAAGTTGATGTCGATGAAGCCAGTAGCCGTGACTCATCACTCAGAGGTCTCCACCACTGTCAAAAGAATGACAGAAAAACCTACAACACAAACTGAAATGGATTCTTCATCAGCAGGACAAACTACATTGAGAGCATCTGGTACAACAGAATCAACACTTACTCCGACTACAGTGACACCAATAACAGAGAAATCATCACCCGAAGCAGGTGAAGTAAAGACAACAGCAGCAGGAACATCCAAAACTACAGAAACATCTGCAGAAACTCCAACATTGTTAGTCCCAACAACAAGTGCAACTACTGCAGCATCAGCAGGAGTGACATCAGTATTGCCAGCAACTGTATCAGGGACAAACACAGCATCAACCATCATACATGAATCAGAAGCAACCAAGACTACACTAGCTGAGGGTTCATCTACTGGATTACATTCTATATCAGTAGAAACAGTGACGACAACAACAGCCCAGGCAGAGTCTGTTACTGCAACCAAAGCTTCAACATTGGCACCAGAAACATCTCAAGTCACAACAGAACCTTTACCATCCCAAACAGAAACTACAAAGTTGATGTCGATGAAGCCAGTAGCCGTGACTCATCACTCAGAGGTCTCCACCACTGTCAAAAGAATGACAGAAAAGCCTACAACACACACTGATATGGATTCTTCATCAGCAGGACAAACTACACTGAGAGCATCTGGTACAACAGAATCAACACTTACTCCGACTACAGCAGCACCAAAAACAGAGAAATCATCACCTATAACTGAAGCAGGTGAAGTAAAGACAACAGCAGCAGGAACATCCAAAACTACAGAATCACCTGCAGAAACTCCAACATTGTTAGTCCCAACAACAAGTGCAACTACTGCAGCATCAGCAGGAGTGACATCAGTATTGCCAGCAACTGTGTCAGGGACAAACACAGTATCAACCAAAAGAAATGAACCAGAAATAACCAAGACTACACTAGCTGAGGGTTCATCTACTGGATTACATTCTATATCAGTAGACACAGTGACAACAACAACAACCCTGGCAGAGTCTGTTACTGCAACGAAAGCTTCAACATTGGCACCAGAAACATCTCAAGTCACAACAGAACCTTTACCATCCCAAACAGAAACTACACATTTGATGTCGATGAAGCCAGTAACCGTGACTCATAACTCAGAGGTCTCCACCACTGTCAAAGGAATAACAGAAAAACCTACAACACACACTGATATGGATTCTACATCAGCAGGACAAACTACATTGAGAGCATCTGGTACAACAGAATCAACACTTACTCCGACTACAGTGACACCAATAACAGAGGGATCATCACCCGAAGCAGGTGAAGTAAAAACAACAGCAGCAGGAACATCCAAAACTACAGAAACATCTGCAGAAACTCCAACATTGTTAGTCCCAAGAACAAGTGCAACAACTGCAGCATCAGCAGGAGTGACATCAGTATTGCCAGCAACTGTGTCAGGGACAACCACAGCATCAACCATCAGATATGAATCAGAAATAACCAAGACTACACTAGCTGAGGGTTCATCTACTGGATTACATTCTATATCAGTAGATACAGTGACAACAACAACAGCCCAGGCAGAGTCTGTTACTGCAACCAAAGCTTCAACATTGGCACCAGAAACATCTCAAGTCACAACAGAACCTTTACCATCCCAAACAGAAACTACAACATTAATGTCAATGAAGCCAGTAACCGTGACTCATAACTCAGAGGTTTCCACCACTGTCAAAAGAATGACAGAAAAACCTACAGCACAACCTGATATGGATTCTTCATCAGCAGGACAAACTACATTGAGAGCATCTGGTACAACAGAATCAACACTTACTCCGACTACAGCAGCACCAAAAACAGAGAAATCATCACCTCTAACTGAAGCAGGTGAAGTAAAGACAACAGCAGCAGGAGCATCAAGAACTACAAAATCACCTGTAGAAACTCCAACATTGTTAGTCCCAACAACAAGTGCAACTACTGCAGCATCAGCAGGAGTGACATCAGTATTACCAGCAACTGTATCAGGGACAAACACAGCATCAACCATCATACATGAATCAGAAGCAACCAAGACTACACTAGCTGAGGGTTCATCTACTGGATTACATTCTATAGCAGTAGATAAAGTGACAACAACAACAACCCAGGCAGAGTCTGTTACTGCAACCAAAGCTTCAACATTGGCACCAGAAACATCTCAAGTCACAACAGAACCTTTACCATCCCAAACAGAAACTACAAATTTGATGTCGATGAAGCCAGTAGCCGTGACTCATCACTCAGAGGTCTCCACCACTGTCAAAAGAATGACAGAAAAACCTACAACACACACTGATATGGATTCTACATCAGCAGGACAAACTACATTGAGAGCATCTGGTACAACAGCATCAACACTTACTCCGACTACAGTGACACCAATAACAGAGGGATCATCACCCGAAGCAGGTGAAGTAAAAACAACAGCAGCAGGAACATCCAAAACTACAAAATCACCTGCAGAAACTCCAACATTGTTAGTCCCAACAACAAGTGCAACTACTGCAGCATCAGCAGGAGTGACATCAGTATTGCCAGCAACTGTATCAGGAACAAACACAGCATCAACCATCATACATGAATCAGAAGCAACCAAGACTACACTAGCTGAAGGTTCATCTACTGGATTACATTCTATATCAGTAGAAACAGTGACGACAACAACAGCCCAGGCAGAGTCTGTTACTGCAACCAAAGCTTCAACATTGGCACCAGAAACATCTCAAGTCACAACAGAACCTTTACCATCCCAAACAGAAACTACAACATTAATGTCAATGAAGCCAGTAACCGTGACTCATAACTCAGAGGTCTCCACCACTGTCAAAAGAATGACAGAAAAACCTACAACACACACTGATATGGATTCTACATCAGCAGGACAAACTACATTGAGAGCATCTGGTACAACAGCATCAACACTTACTCCGACTACAGCAGCACCAAAAAAAGAGAAATCATCACCTATAACTGAAGCAGGTGAAGTAAAAACAACAGCAGCAGGAACATCAAGAACTACAAAATCATCTGTAGAAACTCCAACATTGTTAGTCTCAACAACAAGTGCAACTACTGCAGCATCAGCAGGAGTGACATCAGTATTACCAGCAACTGTATCAGGGACAAACACAGCATCAACCATCATACATGAATCAGAAGCAACCAAGACTACACTAGCTGAAGGTTCATCTACTGGATTACATTCTATAGCAGTAGATACAGTGACAACAACAACAGCCCAGGCAGAGTCTGTTACTGCAACCAAAGCTTCAACATTGGCACCAGAAACATCTCAAGTCACAACAGAACCTTTACCATCCCAAACAGAAACTACAAATTTGATGTCGATGAAGCCAGTAACCGTGACTCATCACTCAGAGGTCTCCACGACTGTCAAAAGAATGACAGAAAAGCCTACAACACACACTGATATGGATTCTTCATCAGCAGGACAAACTACACTGAGAGCATCTGGTACAACAGAATCAACACTTACTCCGACTACAGCAGCACCAAAAACAGAGAAATCATCACCTATAACTGAAGCAGGTGAAGTAAAGACAACAGCAGCAGGAACATCCAGAACTACAAAATCACCTGCAGAAACTCCAACATTGTTAGTCCCAACAACAAGTGCAACTACTGCAGCATCAGCAGGAGTGACATCAGTATTGCCAGCAACTGTGTCAGGGACAAACACAGTATCAACCAAAAGAAATGAACCAGAAATAACCAAGACTACACTAGCTGAGGGTTCATCTACTGGATTACATTCTATATCAGTAGATAAAGTGACAACAACAACAACCCTGGCAGAGTCTGTTACTGCAACGAAAGCTTCAACATTGGCACCAGAAACATCTCAAGTCACAACAGAACCTTTACCATCCCAAACAGAAACTACACATTTGATGTCGATGAAGCCAGTAACCGTGACTCATAACTCAGAGGTCTCCACCACTGTCAAAATAATAACAGAAAAACCTACAACACACACTGATATGGATTCTACATCAGCAGGACAAACTACATTGAGAGCATCTGGTACAACAGAATCAACACTTACTCCAACTACAGTGACACCAATAACAGAGGGATCATCACCCGAAGCAGGTGAAGTAAAAACAACAGCAGCAGGAACATCCAAAACTACAGAAACATCTGCAGAAACTCCAACATTGTTAGTCCCAAGAACAAGTGCAACAACTGCAGCATCAGCAGGAGTGACATCAGTATTGCCAGCAACTGTATCAGGAACAACCACAGCATCAACCATCAGATATGAATCAGAAATAACCAAGACTACACTAGCTGAAGGTTCATCTACTGGATTACATTCTATATCAGTAGATACAGTGACAACAACAACAGCCCAGGCAGAGTCTGTTACTGCAACCAAAGCTTCAACATTGGCACCAGAAACATCTCAAGTCACAACAGAACCTTTACCATCCCAAACAGAAACTACAACATTAATGTCAATGAAGCCAGAAACCGTGACTCATAACTCAGAGGTCTCCACCACTGTCAAAAGAATGACAGAAAAACCTACAACACACACTGATATGGATTCTACATCAGCAGGACAAACTACATTGAGAGCATCTGGTACAACAGAATCAACACTTACTCCGACTACAGCAGCAACAAAACCAGAGAAATCATCACCTCTAACTGAAGCAGGTGAAGTAAAGACAACAGCAGCAGGAACATCCAGAACTACAAAATCATCTGCAGAAGCTCCAACATTGTTAGTCCCAACAACAAGCACAACTACTGCAGCACCAGCAGGAGTGACATCAGTATTGCCAGCAACTGTGTCAGGGACAAACACAGCATCAACCATCATACATGAATCAGAAGCAACCAAGACTACACTAGCTGAGGGTTCATCTACTGGATTACATTCTATAGCAGTAGATACAGTGACAACAACAACAGCCCTGGCAGAGTCTGTTACTGCAACCAAAGCTTCAACATTGGCACCAGAAACATCTCAAGTCACAACAGAACCTTTACCATCCCAAACAGAAACTACAAAGTTGATGTCGATGAAGCCAGTAACAGTGTCTAACACCTCAGAGGTCTCCACCACTGTCAAAAGAGTGACACCAGAAACTGCAAAACAAGCTGATATGAATTCTTCATCAGGAGGACAAACCACATTGAGAGCATCTGTTACAACACTTGCTCCGACTACAGCAGCAACAAAAACAGAGGGATCAACAATTACTCCTGCTACAGTGGCCCGAGTAACCACAAATACGGATCCCCCTTTACTGGATGAAAGAAGCATAGGGTTAAGATTCAGTCTTAATGAAATTTTCCAAGAAATATTAAGTAACAGATCATCCGTTGCTTTCTTGATATTGGCAACCAGAGTGGTAACTGAGGCAAGTATAACTTGTTTCATACATTCAAGAACATAAATTGCATTTACTTATAAGATGACATTATTGATCGATGATTATCAATTTAAGCTTGTAGATGTTCACATCTTTTTATCATTCAAAGTCCCTTAAGACTAGTGCATACTACTACATAAGCTTTCACATTTAAGTCTGCAACTAGTCTGTGACAAAGAACCAGGGATCATTGCCATAACCATCACTCTCAATAAATTGAATTCTAGTCACCGAGATGAGACCATCGCAGAGCACCCAAATCGATGTGTTAAATGAACTGAATTAAATTGAGAATAACCTCTACACATAATTAATTTAGGTTTGTAGAACAAAACAAGAACACGCAATAGCAATGTTAGCACTAACAATTGACATTTTAAACAAGCAGCAAAAAAAAAAAAAAAGATGTGAGTGGCCATAAATAAAATTAAAAGAAAATAAGTAGGCCACAAAGGTTCTGGGTCTCCCCAACCTGGTAACTTGGTTCCCAAACCGAAGTTCACAATCATAATGGGTCACGTTTTAGATTAGGGCCCAATTCTCTTAACTAACTATTAATTATGACTGTTGCCTCAATAAACTCATAATTACTGCTTATAAATACGTAGTTAGTATGGTAGTTGTTACGTTTAGATATTGGGTGGGATTAAAGGATGTAGGTCATGCAGAATACGGCATTAATGTGTATGTTTTAAGTACTAATAAACAGCCAATATCCTAGTAATATGCATGCTAATAAGCAACTTAATGTTGAGAATCAGACTACTCAAATGTCAGTATAGCGGGCTGTAAATTAAAGTGGTGCTTGTTACCCCTGTATTACCCAAAACTTAACATATTGTTCCCTTACACGGAAGTACATATAATTACAGAAACGTACACCGTAATTCCAGTGTACACAGTTGTTTGTGGGTCGTAAAATAAAGTGTTACCCTTAAATTATATATTAATTTTACAGCGTTTTGTAATGTTTATATATATATATATATATATATATATATATATATATATATATATATATATATTTATGAAAATGGTAAAAGATACATGTCAAATTGTACTCTATTTATAATAAAATGACGTTATTTTTCATCGCATGCAGATAAACTCAGTTTACGAGGCAAGTAATCTCAGAGGATACAGGCGATCCAGAGTCGAATCCTTCACGTATGACACCTCTGTCTTTCACATTCATCATAAAGATTACAATAATCAGAGCACAGCTGCTACATGGGTGGTTATAATAATGCTCTTTCTTTCTTTCTTTCTTTCTTTCTTTCTTTCTTTCTTTCTTTCTTTCTTTCTTTCTTTCTTTCTTTCTTTCTTTCTTTCTTTCTTTTTCTTTCTTTCTTGCAGGAGGGGCTCGATTAAAGTGGAGATGTCTCTTATTTTTGTAAACTCTTCTATGGTCCCAAGCCCAGTTGAGGTAGAATCTGTTCTTTATGGAAATGCTATAAATGGGAGCATACTTCTGAATATCACACTGGACACAATCAAAGCAGGTGAGTGTATACAAGTATTATACACAAATGAGCATAAGGGTAAAACCTTTCAAATAAAGTTTAATGTGCTCTGCACATTTTATATTACAGAGGAAATAGTTACTTCTAACACACCTTTCCCAAATGCAACCATACAAACTACTACCATGGAATCCACAGCAAGCACAGGCGGTATTGAATACAATTTTTCAAGTATTTTATTTAATACTTTTAAATACATAATATACACTACATTCTGTACTTCTTACCTTTTCAGAGAACACAAACACCACTTCTGGTGCCTTTTCACAGATGGTATGCTGTTCACTAATGTCTATATCTCCAGGCATCGTGGTTTTATTAGCCCAGACTGTGATGTTTTTTTAATTGTATAATGTACTGTAAAGTTAAAAAAAAAAAAAAAAAAAACATAAAACACTGTAGAAAGACACTATGTTTAATAATATTTAAGCTGATTTTATTTGAACTAGACAATTGTTGACTATTATATTAGGCACAGATTGTACTGCATACAAGTTTTAGGACCCTATACTAATAATCTAATTATTTATTAAATTATTCTCCCCACCTGCAGATCACAAGTTACCATTTGATAATATATTAATATTAACAGCATAACTTCACAATAAGGTCTAATTTGTTAACATTAGTTATTGCAATGACTAACATCAGCCTATATTTTTACAGCATTTATTGATGTTAGATAACGAAGAGTTTCTTGTTTATGTTAGTTCACTAAAGTTAATATGCAACTTTTGACCTTCAAAATCGAAATGTTGAGATTAACATTAGCTAAGATTAATAAATGTTAATGTTCTAATGTTTTTAAGAAATGTTAACAAATGAAACCTTATTGTGAAGCGATATCATATTGACTAAACAATCAATAGAAGTCATCAGGGATTTGTGCAATTAAATAGTTTGTCAAAAACGTTTATTTTGTTGGTTTTAGATAATAATGTGCTTCACGTTATTCTTTTTGAATACTGATATGTGTTGTTAACGTTATGGTTGATATTTCATATAAGCCTACTATATTTTGAGTATTGTATCTGTATTTATCTTTGTTATTAAAGTTGTGGCATTCTGACATGTATCTTGTTTTGTCTTTGGATTGTGCTAGCATTAATTAAAATATGGGTCTATTCAGGTTTAAATAGTTTTAAATCTTTGTAAATATATATAAAAGATTTACAGGACGGTAAATGTCCTGTTTTAATGTATTTGTTATACAATATTGTGGGTGATCTGATGTTTTTTTAACCCTATGGTACGAAATATGATATCAGTCAGAAAAAAAAAATTTTTTGCGGTTTTTCGTGTTTAAAATTGGACACTATAACAATATCAATAAACATGATCATTATTTTTAAATGTATTTATTAATTAAAAGTTTTTCACCTCAAGGCAATTTTGTACCACAATGGACAAATTGAAACATTTAACAATTTCATGAAGAAAAAAATTCAAGATTGATTGAAAAAAATAAATTTATGTAACTGAACACTTGAACAAACATATTTATCAAGTTTTTAATGAATTACACATTTCATATTTAATAAAAAGTAACATTTATTCTCCAGCTGTTGCCCTCAGGCAACATTGTTCCATTGTGGAACGCAAGTACTAAAAAACCATCATGAAATTATCATATCAAAAAAAATTTTGTATTTGTATATTCAAACATTTATTTAAAACATCAATCTCAAAACATTATTTATTGCAGTTAATTGCAGTGCACATTATTTAATTTGATGGGTAACAGCCCTATAATGTCTTATCATTATAATTGAATTTATTGATCAAAGGTAAGAATTTGACATGAAAGATGATGCACACATTAATAAGGGAATACAAATTTCCTTTTTTATCATCAAATCATAAAAAAAAAAAACAGGGTTGTCCGTGTTTGAAAACGCCCCGTTCCATGAATCCAATATTTGTCCGATTACCCACTATAGTGGACAAATGTCCCGTTGACCCCCCTGATCACTCCCAAGCCACACGCCCCCGTCCCACGAACCCACAATTTGTCCGATTGCCCACTATAGCGGCCAAATGTTCTGTCAATCCCTGCTGACCATTCACAAGCCACACGCCTCCGTCCCACGAACCCACAATTTGTCCGATTGCCCACTATAGTGGACAAATGTTCCGTCAATCCCTGCAGACCACTCCCAAGCCACACGCCCCGTCCCATGACCCACTATTTGTCCCATTGCCCACTATAGTGGCCAAATGTCCCGTCAACCCCCGCTGACCATTCACAAGCACCGCCCTGTCCCACTAACCCACTATTCACCCGATTACCCACTATAGTGGCTAAATGTCCTGTTGACCCCCGCTGACCACTCACAAGCCACGCCCCGTCCCACGAACCCACTATTTGCCCCATTACCCACTATAGTGGCCTAATGTCCCATTGACCCCCACACACCCCTGTCCCATGAACCCACTATTTGTCCGATTGCCCAATAGAGGCCAAATGTCCCGTCGACCACTCAAAAGCCACGGCCCATCCCACAAACCCACTATTTGCCCGATTACCCACTATAGTGGCCAAATGTCTGTTGACCCCCGCTGACCACTCACATGTCACGCCCCGTCCCACGAACCCACTATTTGCCTGATTACTCACTATAGTGGCCAAATGTCCCGTTGACCCCCCTGACCACTCACAAGCCACATGCCCCCGTCCCACACGAACCCACTATTTGTCCGATTGCCCACTATAGCGGCCAAATGTCCTTTCGACCCCAGCTGACCACTCACAAGCCACGCCCGTCCCCAGCCCGATTACCCAATAAAGTAGCCAAATGTCCTGTCGACCCCCACTGACCATTCACAAGCCTCACGCCCCGTCCCACGAACCCACTATTTGTCCGATTGCCCACTATAGCGGCCAAATGTCCCTTCGACCCCAGCTGACCACTCACAAGCCGCGCCCGTCCCCAGACCCATTATTTGCCCGATTACCCATAAAGAAGCCAAATGTCCCTTCGACCCCCGCTGACCATTCACAAGCCCCACGCCCCATCCCACGAACCCACTATTTGCCTGATTACCCAATAAAGTTGCCAAATGTCCCATTGACCCCCGCTAACCTCTCACAAGCCATACCCCATCCCATGAACCCACTAGTTGCCCAATTACCCAATAAAGTAGCCACATGTCCCGTTGACCCCCGCTGACCATTCATAAGCCACACGCCCCATCCCACGAACCCACTATTTGTCTGATTACCCACTAGAGTGGCCAAATGTCCCGTCGACCTCCGCTGACGACTCACAAGCCCCACACCCCATCCCACGAACCCACTAGTTGCCCATTTACCCAATAAAGAAGCCAAATGTCCCACTGACCCCCGCTGACCACTCACAAGCCATGCCCGTTCCACAAACCCACTATTTGCCTGATTTCCCACTATAGTGGCCAAATATCCCGTGGACCCCCGCTGACCACTCACAAGCCTCACGTCCCATCCCACAAACCCACTATTTGCCTGATTTCCCATTATAGTGGTCAAATGTTCGGTTGATCCCCCTGACCACTCACAAGCCACGCCCAATCCCACAAACCCACTATTTGCCCAATTTCCCACTATGGTCAAATGTCCTGTTGACCCCTCTGACCACTCACAAGCGTCACACCCCGTCCCACAAACCCACTATTTGCCCGATTTCCCACTATATGGTCAAATGTCCCGTTGGTCCCCCTGACCACTCACAAGCCACGCCCAATCCCACAAACCCACTATTTTCCCAATTATCCACTATAGTGGCCAAATGTCCCGTCGACCCACGCTGACCATTCACAAGCCCCACGCCCTGTCCCATGAACCCACTATTTGCCTGATTACCCAATATAGTGGCAACATGCAGTTTTATGCAATTCCCTATGATACATTTGATGATATATAATGTAATGTTTTTGAAAATACTTCTTTACTTACAAAGGTGACTAAAAATTTTTGTAGTTGATTATCTGGACAGAAATTAGTGAAAAATGCCCTTTTCAGTGGAGAAAAATATGGAGCCATGATACATGTCCACGTGTGGGAAGAGGGAACACAATGTGGGTCATGTTAACACTATTTTGCATTTTTATTGTTTAATATTTGAGTTCCTCTCCCTTAGAGAGCATTGACCAATAAAATTGTATTAGTTTTTATTTAAAAAAAAAAGCTAAAATAGACTATATTGCCTGATGATATGAGAACAGCACGGATCCCAGCTTATCTTGTTGTCACAAGTCAAAGCTGAAGTTGAATAACCTTGAATTTGTTCATGAAGTACTTGAAGCAATGGAATTAATTTAAAAACAGGATATTCACCCTTCATTTAATGAAACATATATTCATACAATATAATACAGATTATTTATCAGAATATTTTTTTTACTTTCCATTATGCCTAGATTAAATACATAGATTGCTCATGTGTACCTTTGTTGTAGATACTCAGCATCTAATTAATATATTGGTAGATATATTTTATTGAAAAGAAGAAAAACATTGTCAGTACTGAATCACATTAGTACCTTTAGAATATAGACATTTCACTTGTGCCATTTCTGTGGCATAGAGGAATGTTCAGATTTATCAGAACATTTTTTCATTACTATTACTCAAAGATTAAATACATTGCACATGTTGGTTACAAAAAAATTAAATAAATCTTCAGCAGCTAACTAATACATTGCCACTTGAATGGAATGTTCAGATTTGGTTTCAACCGATCCTCATTCCTCCAGCAGTGAACAGAGGAAAAATGCCCTTTTTAAAAAAAATATAACTCACACATAGCTTTTGTATCACCAGACTCTATATGTGGCAAAACAGACCAGTAAATATTACAGCTATAGACTCGTTTTGCTCTGTGATTTGACCAAAAATATCCAAGATGTCACAGTACATGATTTTGTGATTAGTGCATCACAGCTGACAAAAGAAGCGACGCGAGGGTCATCCACAAAGCTGTGAGCATACTAGCCAGGACTGGAGACCGGTTAGCTGTAAAAAATAAATAAAGGAAAAATAAATGTATTATTAATAATTCACACATTAATTATTGATTCAGTTAAGCCAGTAAACAAAGTCTATGGAAACAGCTTACAAATGGATCAATGGACCCTTTATGGATCAATCAATCAACCATCCAATCAATCAATTCATTAATTCACTAAATTAATTAATTATTTCATTCATTCATTATAATAAATTAATTAATTAATTTATTCATTATAATGCATTCATTCATTAATTCATTCATTGTGATTAATTAATTACAGCCCACACTACTTGTTACTTATATTTCTCTATGACATGTTCTGTGTGAATGTTGTAAATTTCTTATTTATTATTCATCAAGGAATATTATTAGAGTGGCTAAAGCAATCACATTTTTAGAGACATTATGTATAAATCGTTACAGGAAAACAGAGAAATAAATGTACTGACCAGTGACTCCTAAGGAATCTGTAACTCTGATAGTTTTTGGATCAACTGATAATTTGACTGTTCCATTTCTGACAGCTTCAGCAAGACCCCTCGCCAGGTCTGACGAAGTAGGATTATTAGCAAGAATATTGTCAAATCCAAGTAGACCATCTACCACAATAGAGCCAGAACTGAGAGGGGACAAAGTTCATAAATGAATAAATAGAAAAACTGTAATGCAACAACTGTACTAATGACTTATAAGCAGCTAAACTACTCAATCAATCAATAAATAAACACATGTTAAAAAAAAAATTACATTGAGCATTGACTGTATTTAGAATTGTATAACATTTTACCTGAACCGCGAAACCAACGAGCGCTTGAAGTTCTTAAAACCAATGTAAAATCCATTAAGCTATAATAAAAAATGAGTAAACAGTTCAGGAGAGATTTCATTTTATAAAGAAAAACTAGAAAAACGTTCAAATTGTAAAAAGACAATTACCTCAGAGGTGATGTTTGTTGCCAGCGTTGTGGCTGCTTCAGATGATATATTTAAAAGATCCTGTTTAAAGTCATCATTCAGTTTGAAGGTTATATTGTATTCTGTATTGTTAGCAGCTGCTGAAGATACTGTTGCAGCTTCAGTCGGAGTCACTTTTGTTCCGTTTTTGGGCAGAATTAAAAGGAAAATGGGTCACAATTCAATAATACTTTGTAGTATTACAAAGACAGCATTTTGTATATCCTACAAGATTGTGTGTGTGTGTGTGTCATCAAACAAGAACCATTTAAACAATTCTGGGTTGGTTTAACCCAAATTTGGGTACAATATGGACAAACAAAATTTTTTAATTTTTGCAATTTTAACCCAACTTCAACTTTCACTTTCAACTGTGCATTTTTGAAAATGCATTTTTAACCCAACATTTGGGTTGGTCCATATTTTACCCAAATTTGGGTTGAAACAAACCAGCATTTTTAGAGTGAAGGATTATGACTATGTATACATTCACGAAGGGTTCACAATGTAACAGACAAGTATCTACTGTAACAGGAAAACAAATAATTTGTAAATACACTGACCACTGGTTTCTGTGATAGCAGTAGTATTGATGGATGAGTCATTAATTTTGAAGCTGAAATTTCCATTCGTGATAGCTGTAACAAGGGTGTCTTTCACATCTGTCACATTGGGACTAGTGGCATTCGTGGAGTCAAACTCGAGGACAGAATCAACCACAATGGAGCCCTTGCTGTGGAGATCAATCATGTTGAAACACAGACAGATAATTGACAAAGAACTGAACAATTAAATGGTCCCTTGACTTACAAACTGATAAACTAATCCAGTCAGGAAAGCAATCGCTAATCAAACAAATCATGGATATATCCATCTATTAATAAAAGGGTGTTTGGTATTGACTACAAATGAATGTACCATTACCTGAACTTCCGAATGAACATGCGGGAGAATTTTGGAAAACGTCTTTTGTAAACTCGAGAACACTGTAACACATAGATAAATAATCATATAAATATCACATTACTTGCATAGCCTAAGCATTTCTTTTTTTCGGATCAAATCTCCCTGCAAGAAATAGTGTTTTAAAAACAGACAAAAAACAAGTATTTAGCAAACTATTCAGCGTGTAAAAGCTTATATCATCAGTGGTATCTATTTTTAATATTGCCAATACACAACATTACCAGAGTCTACTGCTATTGCAATCAACATTCATGCCTCATAGGAGAAAAATATTACCTCATTGATGATGCTATTTGACAGCTTTATGGTGTCAGGATTACTGAGATCGGAGTAGATTTCCTGGAAGTCTTGAACAATACTGAAGCCTAAATTAATCTGTGCAACTTTAGCAGGTGTGGAGACTGTCGTCACTGGAGTTGCAGTTTGACTCGTAACTGGAGTTGCAGTTTCATTCGTAACTGGAGTTGCAGTTTCATTCTTAACTGGAGTTGCAGTTTCATTCGTAACTGGAGTTGCAGTTTGATTCACAACTGGAGTTGCAGTTTCATTCGTAACTGGAGTTGCAGTTTCATTCTTAACTGGAGTTGCAGTTTGATTCACAACTGGAGTTGCAGTTTCATTCGTAACTGGAGTTGCAGTTTCATTCTTAACTGGAGTTGCAGTTTCATTCGTAACTGGAGTTGCAGTTTGATTCACAACTGGAGTTGCAGTTTCATTCGTAACTGGAGTTGCAGTTTCATTCTTAACTGGAGTTGCAGTTTCATTCGTAACTGGAGTTGCAGTTTGATTCACAACTGGAGTTGCAGTTTCATTTGTAACTATAGTTGCAGTTTGATTCACAACTGGAGTTGCAGTTTCATTCGTAACTATAGTTGCATTTTGATCCGTAACTGGAGTTGCAGTTTCATTCGTAACTGTTGCAGATGTTGTTGCTGCTTTGGGTAAAATTAAAATGGTACAAAGTTCAGCAAAAGTGTCTCAAAATTAATGCTGAAGATTTATCATTTATCATTAATGCTGAAGATTTATCATAATTTAGCATGCGGATAGTTGTGTGTGTATGTGTGTGTGTGTGTGTGTGTGTGTGTTTGTCATCAAACAAGAACCATTTAAACAATTCTGGGTTGGTTTAACCCAAATTTGGGTACAATATGGACAAACTAAAATTTTTAATTTTTGCAATTTTAACCCAACTTCAACTTTCACTTTCAACTGTGGATTTTTAAAATGCATTTTTAACCCAACATTTGGGTTGGTCCATATTTTACCCAAATTTGGGTTGAAACAAACCAGCATTTTTAGAGTGAAGGATTGTATACATTCACGAAGGGTTCACAATGTAACAGACAAGTATCTACTGTAACAGGAAAACAAATAATTTGTAAATACACTGACCACTGGTTTCTGTGATAGCAGTAGTATTGATGGATGAGTCATTAATATTGAAGCTGAAATTTCCATTCGTGATAGCTGTAACAAGGGTGTCTTTCACATCTGTCACATTGGGACTAGTGGCATTCGTGGAGTCAAACTCGAGGACAGAATCAACCACAATGGAGCCCTTGCTGTGGAGATCAATCATGTTGAAACACAGACAGATAATTAACAAAGAACTGAACAATTAAATGGTCCCTTGACTTACAAACTGATAAACTAATCCAGTCAGGAAAGCAATCACTAATCAAACAAATCATGGATATATCCATCTATTAATAAAAGGGTGTTTGGTAATGACTACAAATGAATGTACCATTACCTGAACTTCCGAATGAACATGCGGGAGAATTTTGGAAAACGTCTTTTGTAAACTCGAGAACACTGTAACACATAGATAAATAATCATATAAATATCACATTACATGCATAGCCTAAGCATTTCTTTTTTTCGGATCAAATCTCCCTGCAAGAAATAGTGTTTTAAAAAGAGACAAAAAACAAGTATTTAGCAAACTATTCAGCGTGTAAAAGCATATATCATCAGTGGTATTTAATATTGCCAATACACAACATTACCAGAGTCTACTGCTATTGCAATCAACATTCATGCCTCATAGGAGAAAAATATTACCTCATTGATGATGCTATTTGACAGCTTTATGGTGTCAGGATTACTGAGATCGGAGTAGATTTCCTGGAAGTCTTGAACAATACTGAAGCCTAAATTAATCTGTGCAACTTTAGCAGGTGTGGAGACTGTCGTCACTGGAGTTGCAGTTTGACTCGTAACTGGAGTTGCAGTTTCATTCGTAACTGGAGTTGCAGTTTCATTCTTAACTGGAGTTGCAGTTTGATTCACAACTGGAGTTGCAGTTTCATTCTTAACTGGAGTTGCAGTTTCATTCGTAACTGGAGTTGCAGTTTCATTTGTAACTATAGTTGCAGTTTGATTCACAACTGGAGTTGCAGTTTCATTCGTAACTATAGTTGCATTTTGATTCACAACTGGAGTTGCAGTTTCATTTGTAACTATAGTTGCATTTTGATTCACAACTGGAGTTGCAGTTTCATTCGTAACTATAGTTGCATTTTGATTCACAACTGGAGTTGCAGTTTCATTCGTAACTGGAGTTGCAGTTTGATTCACAACTGGAGTTGCAGTTTCATTCGTAACTATAGTTGCATTTTGATTCACAACTGGAGTTGCAGTTTCATTCGTAACTATAGTTGCATTTTGATTCACAACTGGAGTTGCAGTTTCATTTGTAACTATAGTTGCATTTTGATTCACAACTGGAGTTGCAGTTTCATTCGTAACTGGAGTTGCAGTTTGATTCACAACTGGAGTTGCAGTTTCATTCGTAACTATAGTTGCATTTTGATTCACAACTGGAGTTGCAGTTTCATTCGTAACTGGAGTTGCAGTTTGATTCACAACTGGAGTTGCAGTTTCATTCGTAACTGGAGTTGCAGTTTGATTCACAACTGGAGTTGCAGTTTCATTCGTAACTATAGTTGCATTTTGATTCACAACTGGAGTTGCAGTTTCATTCGTAACTATAGTTGCATTTTGATTCACAACTGGAGTTGCAGTTTCATTCGTAACTATAGTTGCATTTTGGTTCACAACTGGAGTTGCAGTTTCATTCGTAACTATAGTTGCATTTTGGTTCACAACTGGAGTTGCAGTTTCATTCGTAACTGGAGTTGCAGTTTGATTCACAACTGGAGTTGCAGTTTCATTCGTAACTATAGTTGCATTTTGATTCACAACTGGAGTTGCAGTTTCATTCGTAACTATAGTTGCATTTTGATTCACAACTGGAATTGCAGTTTCATTCGTAACTATAGTTGCATTTTGGTTCACAACTGGAGTTGCAGTTTCATTCGTAACTATAGTTGCATTTTGATTCACAACTGGAGTTGCAGTTTCATTCGTAACTATAGTTGCATTTTGATTCACAACTGGAATTGCAGTTTCATTTGTAACTATAGTTGCAGTTTGGTTCACAACTGGAGTTGCAGTTTCATTCGTAACTGGAGTTGCAGTTTGATTCACAACTGGAGTTGCAGTTTCATTTGTAACTATAGTTGCATTTTGATTCACAACTGGAGTTGCAGTTTCATTCGTAACTATAGTTGCATTTTGATCCGTAACTGGAGTTGCAGTTTCATTCGTAACTATAGTTGCATTTTGATCCGTAACTGGAGTTGCAGTTTCATTCGTAACTATAGTTGCATTTTGATCCGTAACTGGAGTTGCAGTTTCATTCGTAACTGTTGCAGATGTTGTTGCTGCTTTGGGTAAAATAAAAATGGTACAAAGTTCAGCAAAAGTGTCTCAAAATTAATGCTGAAGATTTATCATTTATCATTAATGCTGAAGATTTATCATAATTTAGCATGCGGATAGTTAGGCTGACAAATGGAGACAGGTAGGAAGCCATATATATATATATATATATATATTCTCTCTCTCTTTCTTTCTTTCTCTCTCTCTCTCTCTCTCTCTCTCTCTCTCTCTCTCTCTCTCTCTCTCTCTCTCTCTCTCTCTCTCTCTCTTTAGAGAAAAAAGTTACTTTATTACTTGATTTTGGACATAAATGGACATTTTGGACATTTGGACATCACCAACTAACCCTATTTGCACCTGAAGTGCATTCTAATTTGAGAGTAAATACACAGTACTTGTAATTATGTTATGTTGTTGTCACGTCAGGCTAAAGAAAAATCTATATATAACTGTGTTGTTGTGATAATCACTTTTTAGATGTCACTTTCTTTTTCACTAAACCTTCTTGTGGGTATAATGATTTTATTTATCATTGTGATTTTTGATAAGCCTTGACTTTTGTAATTCAAGTCCAATGATACAGAATGATTTGGAACAAGTAACACTGCTAGATCCTTACCAGTTAGACACAGAAGAACAAGTACAATAATCCTCCACTCCATTGCTACTTTTAGCAATACGCCTAAAAAGATAAGCATACCAAATTTCAAAATCAAATTCATTTCTTCATGCAATATTACACAGAGAAAAAATCCACAGGGCTGGTGATCTTGTTACAATTTCAAAAAGTATCAAGAGCTGAATAAGCACCAAACAAATGCTGTTATATTTACCAAGTGCGTTTTTATTTAATAAACACAATATTTTCTACACATTCCTTTACAAAAAATAAAAAATAAATAAATAAATGCACACTTCTATAATAATGTTCATACTCATCATGATATGGATACAGAAAACAACTGAAAAGAAATGTCTAGCTACTTACTTTTTAAAGATTGGGTGAAAAAGACAATCCAGGTTACTCCGTACAGCAAGCTTTTCAAGAAAAGTTCCTGTCATCTGTTGAATGGTCACTTCTCACAGAGCACAGCAGACAGGTGAGATGGGTATTTAAAGCGGGACAGTTTTTTCTGAAGAAGAATGGACCAATGAGAGTTCATTGTTTGTTGACAAACTTGATTAACAACAGTATTAAAATGATAGCTTCGTTTCATGGTAAATGATGACACACGATGACAGTATCCTGCTTGTATGTTGAAATGTCAGTTTTTGACCAATTATGACAAACTGAAAAATGTTACTATTTACTTGAATGTACTTTATTCATGTGGAAATTCAACACCCTTGACTGAAGTTGGTGTTTCCGAAGTAACATTTTTCCTTATAAAATGTATTAAAAATTCAAATCTAATGTGTTCGCAAAAACACTTTCATATAATGGAAAGTAAAGCCATTTCTTTCTCTTTCATTGAATTTGAGAAGGTAATACATGCTCTGTAAAGCTTGATCAGGCATTCACAGTAGTTGCACTGAAGTGTTGTAATAATCTACCACTTCACAAGACTGGCCTCAACTTTAAATATTTTTAAATGACGTTTGAAGGCACATCTTCTTTTCTAGTCCGAGTTGCTGTATTTAGTTTCTTGCTGTTTTTGCTATTTTTTATATGGGGAATATTGTTATTGTACAGAACATTAGTCAATACTCTGATGTTTTATTAGTGCTTTATAAACAAATAAACTGAATTGTTAAAGGCTTATAATAATCCAGGGTCTGGATTATGCCTGATATGCCCTTGGATAACTCACAAAAGCAACAATGACCTTTCTATCATGACAAAAGATTTTCAGCATGGTTATGGATAGGACAATGTTAATGTATTTGGTCTTGCCGGAACAGATCTGATATGCTGCGGAATACGGCCAATACATACGCTGACAAACTGCTGTGAGTGTGGAACATTACAGTAATGGCAACAAATGAATGTTCAAATTGTTCATGAGGAGGAATTTTGGAAAACAACTCTTGTAAACTCGAGAACACTGTAACACATAGATACATAATCATATCATATTACTTGCAACAAGCATTTTTCAGATCAAATTTTCCTGGAAGAAATTTAGTTTAAAAACATATAAAAAGCAAGTATTTAGCAAAATATTCAGCGTGTAAAAGCATTACCAGTGGTAACTACATTGCCAAAACACAACAACATTACCAGAGTCTGTGTATATTGTGTGTGTGTGTGTGTGTGTGTGTGTGTGTGTGTGTGTGTGTGTGTGTGTGTGTGTGTGTGTGTGTGTGTGTGTGTGTGTATTAGTACTGTCCATTGAGACAGTATGGGATGAGTCACAAACAAAGGGTGTGATGTAAATTGTTTCCCAATCATGTTGTATTTCCTGTTCATTAACAAAACACTACATAACTGGCTTTTCTAGCAAACAGTTCTCGTAACTCTTATTGTTTGTTCCAAGCCAAACTAGAGGTAAAAATTCTCTAACAATTTTTCACACATTATACTTTGTCCATCATTTCCATGTGAAATCCTAAAGTTCTGCAACAATTTTTATATGGATTACAGCCTATATGTTTCTATGGCTGTTATCAGTGTTGCATTTTTGATTTTACTGTTTCCTTGTGAATTTTGGTAAATAGGCAAGAATGCTTTCCTCATGCCAAAACTTCAGTGTCACAGAATGGTCTTATAATTATAGCACTGTTTTTTTTTTTCAGGTTTCGCCTAGTCAATTCTTTTAAAACGTATCACAATAAACAGTTGTTGTTTTGTAAATGCTCTCTTTTACAAATGCTCTCTTTTTGCTTTTTGATCTTTTTTTTAATTGACATTTCAAACTGGTAAAGTCAAAATGTCCGTTTATCAAAATTTTCAATAAATGTAAAGTGTCAGACATGAGGACTGTCCAGCAAAGGAAAAACAACCAGGGGCCCTAATCACACACCACACACCCGGCACATTCATGAACTCTCGCCAATCTTGTTAGAGCATTTTTACTTCTAGTTTGGCTTGGAACAAACAATAAGAGTTACGAGAACTGTTTGCTGGAAAAGCCAGTTATGTTCCCATTGTTTTGTTAATGAATAGGAAATACAACATGATTGGAAAAAAAATAAATTTAATCACATGTTTTCTTTTTTTTTTTCTTTTTTTTTGCGTTTTTTTCTCAGAGCAAATCATCAGGCAAACAGTTTGCAGCTCTAGTTTCTGTCTAACGTCCATATTCGTGTGTTGTGTTCTTCGTCTTCTTCGCCTATTGGCGCGCGTGCTGTTTCAAGTCATTTCCGGTTCGTTTTATCGCATGTTTTTTTTTTTGTGACAAAACGTGCTTTGTAGACAAGATAGAATCGTTGGGGTGAGTTGTTGTCAACTCATGTAGTGTGTTACCTCCTTGTATTTCCTGTTCATTTAACAAAACATTAGGAAACTACATAACTGGCTTTTCCAGCAAACATTCCTCGTAACTCTTATTGTTTGTTCCAAACTAAACTAGAGGCAAAAATATCTAACCACAAAAATTTCTTACCTTCTTATCTCTGGATGCTCTAACAATTTTTCACACATTATAAAATTCTACAAATTTTTTTTATAAGGATTACAGCCTTCATTACACTTAAGTTTCCTTGTGACTTTTGGTAAACAGGCAAGAATGATTTCCTCATGGCAAAACTTTAATCTCACAGAATGGTCACAAGCCTCTTGTAATTATTGCATAGTTTTTTAGGTTTCGCCCAGTCAATTCTTTTAAAAAATATCACAATAAACAGTTGTTTTACAGTATTGTAAATGCTCTCTTTCTAATGCTGTATGCTTTTTTATCTTTTTTAATTGACATTTCAAACTGGTAAAATCAATGTGTCCATTTATCACTGTTAAAATGTTCAAAAAATGTGAAGTGTCAGACATGAGAACTGTCCAGAAAAGGGAAAACAACCAGGGGCCCTATCATACCAAGCACAATCATGAACGCTCACCAATCCGTTATGAAAGAGCCAGCAACGCATCAAAGACGCCTCGCAGACGCGTTGCCGAGCCCAGAAAAATATAATAAATCTTATAAAATAAATCGTATTTTTATTTTTTTGGCGTTTTTTTTTTCCAGAACAAATCATCGATAGAATCGTTGAGTGAGTTGTTGTCAACTCGTGTAGTGCGTTTCCTCCTGTTTCAGATCAATCACGTTGTGTTGTGTGGTGTGAACAGCTCAACAACTTGAACACTCCTGATTTAAAAGAGAGCAAGTCATGTAGTGTGAACCGCACAGTTCAGCCCGGCATTTTAAAATATGTAGTGTGAATCATGTAGTGAGTTAGATCAGTGTTTCCCAACACTGTTCCTGGCGGCACACCAACACTGCGCGCCTGATTCAACTCACCAGCTCATAATCAGATGAATGATCATAATCATAATCAGGTTAATGAGCTGATGAGTTGAATCAGGTGTGTTTGATTAGGGAGACAAAGAATACGTGCAGTGTTGGTATGCCGCCAGGAACAGGTTTGGGAAACACTGAGTTATGGGGCTTTCACACAGGACGCGGTATGCGCTGCGCTGGCCGCTGGGTTTGAGCGTTGCCCTTCAGATACAATGTGATTTGCGCTGCGCTATGCTGTATGATATTATATATATATATATATATATATATATATATATATATATGTCTGTGCATGTACACATATAACATCGAAATCATGAGCTCAGTTCATTTTTAGAATAAAACATTTATTCTAATGACAAACGAAGAATTTATACATATATTAAAACACACCTGACAAGCCAACCTGAATGGAGATATGTCTCCATGACACAGCTTTTCTGACGATGTCAAAATTGTATTTTACAGCTCAGGAAATTCCGGCAGTACAAGCTGTTCATCCATTTTGATTTCCGTGTTTGTTTCCATGTCCCGTTTCTATTGGCCGCGCTGATAATCGTCACAGAGCGCAGCGGCAAAAGTTAAACTATTTTTAACTTTGACCGTGGCGTGCGCGAGCAAGTCAATGGTGCGCACCGCTGCGCTTGTGCTTTTCGACGCCATAGATATCTATATAAAGGCTAGATATGTCGTCCACGCTGCTGGCCAATGGGGGTCGCCCAGATAGCAAACTGACATTGAATCAACGTGGAAACATGACATCGAAACAACGTTGATCTGACATTGTTTTGCTCACCGAATTAACGTTGAACCAACGTCAGACGCGTGCGTCATTCTTTCAAAACTAACGGAAAATCAAATTGAAATCGACGCGTTGTTTCAACGTTATGAAAGCAAACCAATTTTCGATTTTCATTTAGCTTTGAAGAATGCCGCGTCTGACGTTGGTTCAACGTTAATTCGATGAGCAAAATCAACGTTGTTTCAATGTCATGAGAGACGTCGTTTCCACGTTGATTCAATGTCAGTTTGCTGTCTGGGCGACGTCTGCACCTGGCGGCCATCTTGTCACAGGCAGCTCGCTCACTCGTAACATTGTGTTAATGGTACATGTACTATTTAAATAACCGTAACTTGCTCATTTTTCTACCGATTTTCAAATGATTTGTTTTGTTATAAACGTCAGAGATGTAGTTATGACACTGCATACTTATGAATAAAAAGTGTATAAATAAATAATCATCCAGATAATTATAGCCACGTTAATAACGTTTGTAAGAAACCAAACCATTTGTAAATCCGTCAAGATTTCAATGAGATAAGAGTATTTGTGTTCGTGCTGACCACTCATCTTACATCAGCTTGCCTGTGACAGGATGGCCGCCGGTGATGACGATGGAAACTCCGCCGTAACACATCTAGCCGTTATATACATATCTATGGTCGACGCAGCAACAAAACGTCTTCGTGCGGCGCAAGCCATTGAAATGAATGGGTTTCATAGCGCCGCACAGCGCATACCGCGTCCTGTGTGAAAGCCCCTTTAGATGGTTAAAATAGGGCCCCAGGGTTTGACTTGACTGTGATAGCAGACGTTGGCTCCATGACTGGTGTGGGCTCTGGCTAGGATAGTTTTATTGAAAGGGCTTAAGCATGGTCCCGTTGAGATGCATATCACTGTCTCATT